CTGCACTCTTCCAGGTAAGTGAGGAGTATTCCACCCCACTCCCAATTCACTGAACCAGAGTCATACAGCACAGAAACAGACCCTTCAGCCCAACTCGTCGAAGCCAACCAGGTTTCCTAAACTGAACTAGTCCCATTTGCCTGGGTTTGGCCTATATTCCTCTAAATCTTTACTATCCATGTACCTGTCCAAATGTCTTTTTAATACTGGAATTGTACTTGCCACTACCATTTCCTCTGGCAGCTTGTTCTGTATACACACCACCTGTGTGGAAATGTACCCCCTCAGGTCCATTTTAAGTCTGTAATCTCTCATCTTAAACCTGTGTGCTCTAGTTTGGGACTCCTGTAGTTAGCTATTCACCTTATCTATGTCTCTCATGATCTTATAAACCTCTAAGGTCACCCCTCAGTTTCCCACACTCCAGAGAAACAAGTCCCAGCCTACTTAGCCTCTCCTTATAACATAAACCCTCCAGTCTTAGTAACATCCTTGTAAATCTTTTCTGCACCCTTTCCAGTTTAATAACATCTTTCCTGTACCAGGGCGACCAGAATTGCATACAGTAATCCAAATGGGACCATACCAATATCTTGTACAGCCACAATATGATGTCCCAATTCCTGTACTCAACGCTCTGACTGATGAAGCCAAATGAGTCTTTCACCATCCTATATACCTGCAACACCACTTTTAAGGAACCATGCATCTGCAGCCCCAGGTCTCTTTGTTCAACACTACTTCTCAGGACCCTACCCTTAACTGTGTAAGGCCTGCCCTGGTTTCTATTACCAAAAATGCAAAATCTCACATTTATCTAAATTAAACTCCATCTGTCATTCCTTGGCCCAGTTGATCAAAATCCCATTGCAAACTTATATAACCTTCTTCACTGTCCACTAAACCACAAATTTTAGTGCCATCACAAACTCACTAACCATGTCTCCCAAATTTTCATCCATATCGTTTATATAAATGACAAACAACAGTAGACACAGCACCAGTCCTTGCAGCACATCGCTGGTCACATGACTCCAGTCCAAGAAACAACCTTCTACCACCACCTTCTGTCTTCTAATGTCAAGCCAATTTTGTATTAGATTAGTTAGCTTTCCCTGGATCCAATGTAATCTAACTGTACTAGCCAGTCTACCATGGGGAACCTTTTCGAAAGCCTTGCTGATGTCCATGTAGACGTTTACCGATCTGCCTTCATCTATTTTCTTGGTCACCTCTTCAAAAAACTCAATCAAGTTTGTGAGACACGATTTCCCACACACAAAGGCTTTCAACGAGGTAGACTGGCTATTAAGGTTAGATCACATGGGATCCAGGGAAAGCTAACCAATTGGATACAAACTTGGCTTGACGTTAGGAGAAAGTGGTGGTAGAGGGTTGTTTCTTGGACTAGCGGCATGTGACCAGCGGCGTGCCACAAGGATTGGTGCTGTGTCTACTGTTGTTTGACATTTATATAAACGATCTGGATGAAAATTTAGGACGCATGGTTAGTGAGTTTGTGATGACATTGACTATCCCTAATCAGTCCGTGCCTTTCCAAATGCACGTCGATCCTGTTTCGCAGAACCCCCTCCTCAACCTTCCTCATTGACATCAGGTTCACTTGTCTGTAGTTCTCTGGCTTTTCCTTGCAGTCTCAAATAATGGCACCTAATTAGCCACCCTCCTTTTGCCTTGTAAATGATGGACAGGCTTTGGGGAGTCAGAAGGCGAGTTATTCACTGCAATATTCCTAGCCTCTAGCCTGCTCTTGTAGCCCGTTTTTAATTGCGAGTCTAATTTAGTTTCTGGTCAATGGCAATTCCAAGGATGTTCACAGTGGGAGATTCATTGATGATAATACCATTTAATGTCAAGGAATGGTGGTTAGATTGTCTCTTATTGGTGGAATCAGAGTTAACGTTTCAGGTCCGGGTCCAGAACGTATGTTCTGAGGAAGGATCACCAGACCCGAAACATTACATCTGATCTTTTCTTGACAGATGCTGCCAGACCTGCTGAGCTTTTCCAGAAATCTTCTAAATTTGCTCAAAGGTCCAAAAGAATAAAGAAGTTTGGATTTTCAACGACACAGATCTCAGTTGGAAGTAGAAAACTTCAAAACCTGAGCCAAAAAATCTTTTCTCCTGGAATTGGTAGAACATAATGCTTAGCAACAGCTGCTGGGATGCCTGCTATATACTGTAATTTCACAGAATTGAAAATATCAACCCTCAACCAGTCCGGTTTCATTTCAGAGAACAGCCAGTTTGACAATTTACCAGATGGTGACAGCAGTGGCAAAACAAAATATATGCATGAATGATGAACTCCAAGGAAGACTGCGAGACAGAGTAAATAAAGCAGAAACAAAACTCTCGATTTTCAGACTTCACTTTCTTTAGCAATTTCTCTTTCTTTCCCCAAGAGTTCATTTCATTAAAGGTTCCAGAAGCAAATGAATTTTCTTCCTCTTTCAAGTTAAATTTGTTGCCAGTAAGCTAGTGAGCAGATTGCCAACTAATTCCAGACTTGTTATTGGTTTCTTTCTAGTCAATGCAACTTTCACTTAACTAGCAGAAAGACAATTTTTTCATGTTCGGTGCAGGACTAGCATAAACAGATGCTGATTACAACTTCAAAAAGTCTAAAATGCAGTTTATTAAAATCTTAGTAATTCTGAGCAAATAGTACACATGGGAGGTGATGGCCTAGTGGTATTATCGCTGGTTGTTAATCCAGAGACCCACAATGTTCTGGGGACCCGGTTCGAATCAGCCATGGCAGATGGTAGAATTTGAATTCAATAACTATCGGAATTAAGAATCTAATGATGACCGTGAATCCATTGTTGATTGTCGGGAAAAACCCATCTGGTTCACTGATGTCCTTTAGGGAAGGAAACTGCCATCGTTACCTGGTCTGGCCTACATGTGACTCCAGACTCTCAGCAACGTGGTTAACTCTCAACTGCTTTCTGAGCAATTAGGGATGGGCAATAAATGCTGCCGAGCCAGAGACGCCCTCATCCAGTGAATGAATAAAGAAAACAAAACAAACAAGATATAGCACTCCAAGTTTGCCGTCAAATTTTCTTCATTTTGACACAGTTCCTCTGGAACACAGTGGCCTAATCCAGAATGTATCAGACCCTTGGTGTGCTAATGGAAATTTGTTTATATTGTGGTTGTTTATGATAGGTTGAGTGACTATTGAAGACCATTAGCTGGTTTTCAGTCCAGATTAATCAAGAATAGATTTTCAGAAAATCCAGAGATTGAAAGTTTATGGAGCAATTTGGAAGAAATCTAACTGTGGTCAGAAGCAAGAATAATCTTTCCTCCAAGAAAGCAGGAGTTCTTTCTTATAAAGCAGTTCAGGGAGAACACAGTTACATTAGTAGAAGACTTTAGTTTATGAAACTTCTGAACCAGGTCCATATACAAGAGATCTGTAGGTTGAAAGAAGGTGAGAAGCTAACCTCTCATTTTTCTTGTGGGTATTCATGTAAGACAAGTCCACAGTTCACAGGAAAGAAACCAGAGAGAATCAATTAAGTACAACAAAGATTTGAAACAGAGGGATAATTGCTCTGTATTTGAATCTCTGAAGTGGTGTTGTTGGGAAGAAGGCTGAAAACTTGGTTTTCATGCATATTTTAAGATTTTTTAAAATGAAGTTTGAGGCTAGATAGCATTTCCTTTTTGTTTTCACTTTTTTGTGTTAATACATTCTGTTGTAACAGAAAAACTGTAGCCTCATGTAAAAACCAAAAGAACTGCAGATGCTGTAAATTAGTTAATGTAGTGGTTAGTCAGCAAAACATAACTACACAAGGCTGCAAAAACAGAAGCTGCTGGAAAAGCTCAGCAGGTCTGGCAGCATCTGTGAAGGAAAAAATATCAGTTAACGTTTCAGTTCTGAGGAAGGGTCACTGAACCCGAAACGTTAACTCTGATTTTTTT